TACCTGTTGTGGTTGTCGCTGTGGTTGATGGTGCCCTCCTCTTGAATGCCCGCGTTGTCCTTGTCGTCGTTGTTGTTGATGTTGTCGATGTTGTCCTTGTCGTCGTTGAAGTTTTCGTTCGTGCAGATGTGCTGCGCCGCGGCCGCTTGCGCTCCAGCTCATCACCACCTTCATCATCACCACCGCTGTCGTCACCGTCGTGTTCCTGCTGCTGCTGCAGCTGCAGCTGTGCATTCACGCCGCCCATGGGCTCAATAGCGGGAGCACCATCATCACAACTGCTGTCGTTGCCAACATCTGCGCTGCACTCACCGCCCTGCTGTGATGGCGCTGAGTTCGCGCTCGTGTGCGTGTGTGCGTGTGACACGTCGTCGTCTGCGTCGTCAACCATTAGTTTCCCCTCGAATCCGTCATCGATGGAAGACGCGAGCGAGCGCTGCACGTCCTTTGCATTCGGACACGCATTCGCCCAATGGCCCTGCAGACGCACGTGCATGTGCGTGTGTGTGTGTGTGTGTGTGTGTGTGTGTGTGTGTGTGTGTGTGTGTGTGTGTGTGTGTGTGTCAGCAATCGCTCAAGACCGTCAGACTTGCGGCCGAAAGGGTCCACGTCAATGACACACGTACAATTAACATGCCATCACCACCACACTCACACCAACCACTCCCCCACCGTCCATTTTCCACACACCTGTTCACCACAGAGGAAGCACGAGTTGTTGCTCCGCCGGTTCTTGTGGTTCTTGCGCTTGTGCGCGAGCGAAAACTTGGCCTGTACGTGCATGCATGCGTGCGATGTTGTGAGTGCATGTGTGGTTGCGTGCGTTTGATGTCGGCAGCACACACCTCCCTCCAAGTCATCATCCACCACAACAATCAGCATCAGCACCATAACCACCACAACATCACTCTGCGCACCTTTGCGCCGATCCGGAAATGCTTCTTCCTCAGGTTGAGTTTGCGGAAGTTGAGTTTGGGCTCCAACGAGCGCGTCGGTGCACCTGTGGGACGATGACGGGTGGTGTCGCACAATGTTTAGGGGCGCCAATCAGATGCGGCACACCGCGTGATAGGAGTGAGCATTCATGGACACACACACACACACACACACACACACACACACACACACACACACACACACACATCCACTCACGATCTGCGTCAAAGCCGCGAAGTTGAAAGAAGTGTGGGTCCCATGCTGTGGAAATGTAGCGGGGCGCAACAAGTGAGTACTTGAGAACATCAGAAACGCCCACACACACGCCCACACACACAACCACATGAACACACACACACACACACAAACAAACAAACAAACACACACACACACACACACCTGCAATGGGCTTGGAACTCTTGCGCTTTGAGCGTTTTGAGAAGAGCGAGGAGGAGGAGGAGGTCTGTTGCGCAGCGTTCTCTGCATCAAATGTCTGGCTGTCCTTCGCGTGACCCTCCGTGGCACTGTCACTCCTCTCCACAGGCAACACCTGCAACACGTCATCACCATCGCCATCACCACCACGAGGGGCAGACGGCTTCATGGCAATCATGACTGGTGGGTGTGCTGGGATCGGATTCGGGTCGGCCAACACATCGCGTGCATCGAGGATGTCACCACCACCACCAGTGCTGGCGGGAGTGGTAGAGGCATGGTCATCGTATGACAGGTTCGTGCTGTTGATGTTGCGTTTGCCTGCAGGCAGACTGGCTTCATCTCGGCGTTGCATCACCGACAGGACACGCCCCCTTGACTTGATGGGCGAAGATGACGGCGAGGCAAACCCGCCGCCGCTCAGGAACAAATCGCCACCCGTGTCCGCTGCCCCGCCCTGCTGACTCAGCACATTCAGGTCCACGTTGATGTCCTGTTGCGACACGGCGCGACAGAGCGGGAAATCCGCTTTTGTGCGCAGCGACGAGCGACGCGAGAGGGGAACAAACACGCTCCGGCCAGACCTGTGGTGGTGGTGGTGGTGGTGGTAGTGTTTGGGGAGAAAGGGGAGGGGTCAACGGTTGAGTGTATATGTGTGTGTGTGTGTGTGTGTGTGGTGTGTTTGTGTGTGTGTGTGTGTGTGTGTGGTGTGTATGTGTGTGTGTGTGGTATGTATGCGTGTGTGTGTGTGAATGGTGTTTGTGCGCGTGAACATGCACACCAGTGCATGCGTGCGTCAGTGCGTGTATACAAGCCTGTGCCTGTGTGTGTGTGAGCAAGCGCGAATGCTCATTAATGACTATCAAGGCAATATTCTCTTCGTGCACATGCACGACGAGTACACGCTGCCCACCTGGTGCTGAAGAGTTCACGCGACTTTTGGCGCGAAAGGCGAAACTGCGTGGTCGTATCTGCAGCCACCACGCAGCCATGAACAACGGTGGTGGTAAGATCCAAGGTCCGCACATACCGTCACAACCACAACCACAACCACCACCACAACCACAACCACGTCCGCAACCACAACCACAACCACAACCGCAACCACATCCGCACCCACAACGCACCTTCTGCGAAGAGGGAGGTGGTCACGTCGAGGGCGGGTGGCATCGTGTTGGCGCCACCAAACGAAACGTGTTCTCCTCCACGCACACCAACACCATCGCTACCACTGCCGCCAACGGCCATCAATGTATGGCGATCACCGTCGGCAGTGCCAAACACATCGCACGCGCCCTGCGTGCTCACAGGAGTTGTCGTGGTGGTGGCAGTCGTTGCCAGGCGCTCCGCTTCTGCACGGAACGGCACAAATCCACTCAAGCCGTTATTTCCACTGCTCGCACCATTCCCATGATCACCAGTGCCGCTGTCACGGGCGACATGTGCAGGGGCACTCAGGACGCGCGCACGTGGGGCTGGTGGCGCATGGCTTTGGCTCATTGCACCCACCATACCGCCACTCGTAGTCGCCGCCGCTGTCGCCGCCACGACTGCTGATGACGATGACGATGATGGTGCCGGTGCTGTTGCGAGGGACCGTCGGGAGTGGCGGCGGGAGAGGGAGAAGCGCGACGTGCGCCCAGATGCAGCTGGCGTTGGCGTTGTCGACCGCGACCGCGCACTCGCCATGATGGCACTCAAGATGGGCTTGCCCGTCGTCTCGGCCTGCGTGCTGGCAGTGGTACCACTGCCAGCGTTGTTGTGGATGGCGCTAGTGCTCATGGCGCGTGCCATGGTTATCGGTGGCATGGGGATGCCACGCTTGCCGTACTCAAACATGCCGCTGACGCCTGCGCGGTGCAGTTCCATGCGCAGCTGCGCGTCGCCCGGATCATCCTGCGTTGGATGAGACCTGTGCTTGTCTGCTGTCCTGCCGCCCTGCGTTGATGATGACGACGGTGTTGTTGATCCTGGCACAGTCGATGCGTCTTCTGATCCCGATGTACTCGCACCTTTCTTCAACTTGTGGTATGCCTTGTACTTGGCGGCTGTGCAGTGTTTTTTTTTTTTTTGGGGGGGGGGGGCACAGGGAGGCGAAGGCGGTGGATGTCAGCAAGGGATTTGTTTGCACACACACACACTCCACACACACACACACACACACACACACACACACACACACACACACACACACACACACACACACACACACACACACACAAGGGCAATAGATGCACGCACATACAAACGAACTAGATAAAGGGCAAGGTGTTCTTTTTTTAACGTGCATAGGGAAGAGAGATGCATGATAGGAACACACGAGGTTAAGTCATCTGTAGAGTGTATGTGACCGTCACGAGGGCAGGGGAGTCTAAAAGTCCCGCGGGGAGTTCCTGGCCCGCATGTGGGCATACATACGTAAAAAAACTCATTGCCGAGTTAGTAACTGCACAAAGAGAGTACGGAGGAGGGAGAGAAAGGACAATGACGCGGACTAACTGCCGGGCAAAACTCGAGGCGAGTGTCGGG